CCTAGAAAAGGCAAACCTACAGTAATAGCAAGGAGGTCAGCGGTTCAAGGGGTCAGAGTAGGGGAAGAGACTAACGACAAACGGGCACAAGAAAGCTTTTTAAGTGATGAACATGTTCTATATCACAACTGTGATCATGGTTTCAACATCTGTCAAAACTCATCAATTACATACTTAAAATTGGTACATTTTATTGTAATTCATACCTCAATAAAGCAAATTTTTTGTAATTTCAAAAAATGATATACAACAAAAGAACCCTATGCTTAGCTAATATAAATTTGTGAGTATCTATCCTTGCACTTTACCTATCAAACTCTCTAAGGGACTAACAGTCACTGACAGAAATATAACTTAACCTGAGATTCTGAAACAATAGTGAAGAGATAACTTCATCAGAGGCCCCCACGTATCTAACCATGTCATGACATCTATATCCATTTGAACAATACACACAACATTCAATAAAGCATGTTGACAATTTTAGGGAGAAGTTTTTAGTCAGAACACAATTTAGTGGAATTCAAAAGCAGAAGCAAAACTATCTTTACTTTTTTAAAAAACCCACTCTAGTATAATTCAGTGAAACACTCAATTTAGAGTTCTACATACAGGAATCAATTACCAAGAACTGTTTATAATCTATTCCAGGAATTTCAAAGGAAAAAAATCCTCAGTCTCAGTAATTTCTCATAAAATTTCTTTTCAAATATTTTATGGTAAAAACAACACATATGTACTTTGCTCCTTAGTATTAGAACACTAGAAGAACAAAAATAAACAAATGACTAGAGTTACACATTTATCCAATGCAGTACCCTCGCCAAAAGGACTTTTTCATAATTTCATCGAGGGCAATATATTAAAATTTTGACTAACTGAACATTTTGAAATAGCAGAATTACTTTAGTTTTCTTTCGTGTATGTGTGTTTCTGTGTGTGTAAAAAACAAGATTAACTTTTTAAATGAATAATAAATAATTTCTAGAATATGCAGGAGAGCCGGCACATATTCAGGCCAATCTCTTATACAACCTCTCTAGCCAGTGCTTTACGATGACCTTTGAATATCAAAGTGATGTGTCTCAGTATTCTAAGAGAAGTGTAGGCAAGCCATGAACCCAGAAGCGGGTGCTCTAACCTATAAGAAAGAGTACACAACAGGGCTTCCCAACCTGGAGTCACACCTAGGATGTGGCAAGGTATCTGAAAACACACACGTATAGGAAACACTGTCTACAGCCATTTATAACTGTGATAGATTCTTTTTCTCTATCTAGATATCATTGTCATTAATAACAGAAAATTCATTTAAATACATTACTAAATCCAAGCGGCATTTTGACATTACACATCTTCTCAATCAACGTAGGGCCACTATGATGTATGAGTGCATGTAATTTTAAGAACTTAAAAAGGAGGCCTCCTATTCGGAAAGATCAGAAATCACGGGTACAGTAAAGAAAACCCCGCCCTGGGAGTCAAGAGAAGTAGTTCCAGCTACTGCAACCTGGCCCCTGACCTCACAGGGATTCTGTAAAATGAAAGCACCTGGATTGTTCTATAAGGTCTTTTTGTTCTAAAACTTTTCCTCTCAAATGCTGTAACAATAATTCAGAAACTCAGTTAATGTCACAATTTTAGTCACCAAAACCAAAAAATTTACTAACACTTGGTAATTTTTTCTAAATTATTTACTTTGTATGTATCTGCTTAATACAATTTATTACTATAACACAATTATTATTACAGAAAGTCTGAAGACGAAGAAAATGTCACAATGTCACGCCTAATCCACGATCTTATTTGCAGACACAGTTTACACAGCTATTAATGGGCATAATATTTTATATACAGCTCTCTCTTATAACGTGTACAGCTCTCTCTTACAACGTGTTTTCCACACTATAATGCATCTTCATCTTATCACTTTAAATAGTTCCTTACCATTCTACTGAGTGCATTTGTATATTTGAATATTTATGTGTATTTGTACATATCTGTATAATGAAATACTAGAAGGATAAAAAAGAAAATAATAAACATTGCTATTTTTATTAGGGTAAAAGTGGAGGAGACATAGCAGGGTGAGAGCAGGACTTCTCTCTTTGTATACTTTTTCATACATTTTCTATACATTTCACACATTTTGACCTACTACCTATTGTTTTTTAAACTAAAATTTGATTTAAAAAATTTAAATATAAGTGAAATATAGTTATTGATTCTAAATAACAGATTTACATAGAAGTCAGAAATCACTCACTCCAACCTCCAGTGCCTGCAGGGATCACTTTAATAGTGCTTAATTATATGTTTTTCTAGCATATTAGAAAAAGGACACAGAAAAAATAAACCAAAGTCAGGAGCCAGAGATACTATCAGTGAATAGGAGGGTGGTCTGAGACGGATTCAGAGAAACAGTTTAACACATCCCAGCAGTCCCTGAGAAAAACACCAGTGAATCACAGCATAGTTTAAAGGCTGATTAATTTCAGCAAATATATGCTGAGTCCCCATTATGTGCTGTTCTGATAACACAAAAGATGATTTTCAAAGAAGAAAAAGAGAAGTTCCCATTCTCAAGAAATTTGAGGTAAGACCATTTCATAAGCTTTAAGGTTTTGGGAAACAAACAAGGTGCCACTGGAATATAGATGTATGGAGAAGAGAAACCTTTGTGGGAGCAGAAAGCAAAGGGGGAAAATTAGTAACTTTAGGGGGCGTGGAGGGGTTAAGAGAATAATCAATAAACGAGTACACTGTTTTTGAGGATTTTGTTTTTGAATATTAGTTCAGAATAGAAATTAAAGCTCTAATTATCTGAAAGACTGTGTATTCTTCAACAATAACTGAGGCCTGATTAAAATTAAGATTTTTATACTAAAATAGGCTATGATAAGTTTAAATATTCTTTTTAACTACATAAAGAGATTTTATTTATCTGGACTTAATGTGTACATATTAATAAAGACAGGCCTACTAAACTGCCTGTTTCAAATACATATAAGAAAAGAAAACCTTTCAGAGAAATTTGAAAGAATGGTTCCATTATACACACTGAGTTACTAAAATAAATGATTTGCCCCAATTTTCTATAATCCAAACATTGATTTTTTTGACAAAATACAATAACAAATATTACGAGCTAAAAATACAGGAGAAGATTATCCTGATCATGTAGAAGTTTAAAAGCACACCGAGCAAAGAAGACAGATTCAACTAACCGCTGGAAAAAAGTATTCAAGACTAACTTGTTAATTTGGTAAAAAGTATTTGGTATATTATTTAGTAAGTACCCAAAAAGGCAACCTATAAAAGTTAGCTGTAACCTGCACTAAAGCATCAAAGCCTTTTTCAAAGAATATTAATAATGTGGAGATGCCAAATGAATGGGCAGCAAAGGAAAAGGTAAAATAAAAAGAACTCTACCAGTAATTATAGTGTTATAATTACAAAACCTATTAATAACAGAAAGACAGTAACGCTGGTATGATCATTAACATTTATTTCTGAAGTGTTATTCTGCCTTCACAATATCACTATCACTCCTCAAAGATTCGTACAATTGGGCCTTCCTTAAAGGCCCCCAAACTGCTCCACGTCTTCCCAATAAGCCCCTCAGCGGCCCTCAGAGGACCAGAGTGCAGTGACCTCACAGCCACCAGACATGGCGTTAGACTCAAGTCACCTGGACACATCTTCACCTGGTCCTCAAGTCACAGATACGAGAATCCTAATTCTCTCAATATAAGTTTTTCATACTGTTTAAGAAAAAAAATTAAAATACACATAAAGCCCTTATAAAACTATTAGCAGCTATCATTTATAAACACTGCACTGTGCTTTACATATCCTGTCACATGGAAGCCTCCAACAACCCTACAGGCAGACAGCATTACTCACGGAAAAGCAGAAGCCTGGACCGCAGAACGTCATTACCCAGGCAGCTAGGACAGTCACCCTACTCTCTGATTACCAAATGGAGTGAAACTAATCCTTTTCGGTATGCTACCTTACATCAAAAGCCAAAATATAACTCCTTTACACTGAATGTTCCTAAATATCGTCAAATTCTGCAATATTTCAAGGTGGAAGCCAGAGTACGAAGCTTGAAAAACTGAGCACCCTTAAGAATGAAACTGAAGAAATACTGGCCATGACTAAGACACCTCTAAAAACATTCTGTCTACAAATACTCCCCCAGCTCTCCAGCATTGTTCTGCATTTACTCAGAATGCTCAATAAATACTTGTTTAATGAATAAAATACTGTATGTCGTTCCCTCAAATGTTTCATTACCTCAAGGGGATTATCCCATTCATATTTTTACTGAAAAAAAATTTGTTTATGCTTCAGTCAATTTCTACCTTCATTTGCTTATTAGTAAATATTACAATGACTCTGCATGTTATCAGCATTTTTTAATCATCTACGTTTTTTACTAGTTGAAACAGACTCATTCAATCTCACAGTTTAGTACTGTATTTTGGTAATACAATACAAACAGAAAAAAACATACATCTTACACCACTGTAGATACCAATTTAAAAATACAATCTGTGGACACACACTTAAGTGGGCACTACTACAAACACCAACCTTCAAAGCAAATGTCTATACTTAACACTTTGTACGGGGGCAGCTACTCCTAGTCCATTACACAATTTTTTGAGCAACTAATAAACACAAAGCATACTGTTGTGGGTAGGAAACCCAATTTTTCCTTCCCAGCTGCACTTTCATAAATATTACTCATGTATTACAAAGAAATATTCTAATGGTTCAAATTATTTTTTCAACTTCCAAAACAATCCACATGTTGCAAAAGTCTCTAAACTGACAAAGCATTTCTTTTCTTATAAAACAGTAAAAAAGAGACAAAGAGGAATTGTTGGTAATAAAATTCAAACCACAAAACACTTTATAATGGAAAACAGGCTACTGCTAAGGAAAAATTAGACTGCCGCTTAATTTCATAATAAAATTGATTTACATACCAGCACAGAATATCCCTGGGACTTCACTCCTGACTATTATGGTCCGCACTTTCTTATCAGATTTTAAAGCATCCACAGCTTTTGAGAGCTAAACAGAAATAGGGAGAGTAAGGAGGAAAAATGGGAAAAATCATTTTCAGATTGATGTCAACATTGTATCTTAATAGTAGAAGCAAAGAGTTTAATCTTTACACTCACCATTTTTACAAGATTTTTACTGAATGAATTTTTGGCATAAGCTCTGTTTATTCCAAGCACCACAATTCCTAGTTAAGAAACAAAGCACAAGCACTTGAGTTAGTGAGGTATTCAGGGTCCAGGCTCCCACACACACCACTAGTTAACTTGGGACTCAGGGAATCCACCACCTCCTTGAGGGTCACTCCAACAGCTTCATCCTTATTTTCGTGTTTACCTTCCTTTTCAAGATAAGCATATTTTTAAAGAATGTGGTATTTGCAACATATTTATAAAATCAATCTAGTGCCAGAAATTGGAAGGTAGAAGATGAAAGAAATAGTACAGCAAGCATCTTCTTATCTTACATCAAAAGGAGTCCAGAAACTGTCTACCAAAATAATTATATAGGTAACACAAATAAGAAAGACAGTGAATAAAATTATCACTCACAGCAAGGACTCAAGAGATGTTTAAAGTCTTTACTTTTGATGAAAGGGCCTGAAAGTCAAGGGGTGGCACCCTTCAACACTGCTTTTTTTTTTTTTTTTCAATTTTACCATGAGCATATACAATATTTTTACTTTAGAAATTTCATTAAATTTTAACTATTATTACTAACAAATCACACAAAGTACTGAAGGCACAAAGTACTGAAAACCACTGACAGAAAGAACACTTTTGATAAACCACACCTATAATTCAGAGTCCTTACAATGCTACAACAGTAGTAAAAACCTACACTAAAAATATTCTGAAATGATCCAGAACTCCTTCACATGAACACAAGGACATATGCACAAGGACTGCAGCAATTTTTATAACAGCCAAATCTTAGAAACAACTTGGAAATTCATTAACAAATGATGATTATAAACCTAAAAAACCCAAAAGAATCAAATAAAAACTAGCATAAAAAAAGAGCATTCTTTAAAAGATATGAAATGAACATACCCAGAAACAATAGCCTTCACGTAAAAAAAAGAAAAGAAAGAAAGAAGACAACCACTTACAAGCTACGGTGAGAGAAAAAACCCCATTTTTATGAATAACCAGAAGGAGTCAGGCAGGATGACCTGGGGTACACTTAACGTATATGTGTAAATCCTACTGACAGGCACTTTTAAAACTCTCCTTAAAAAAAGCAGAATTGAAAAAACTGAAACGCATATCATGTTTTTAGATAGGAAAAAACAGTATCATAAATATTTCCCTGATTTATAAAACCAACACAAACCCAACAAAAATACGAAAACCTTTTTCCAAAACTAGACATGAAAATTCCAAAATTTGTGTAGAAAAATAACCACGTAGGAAGAGCCAAGAAAACAAAGAAAAAAGAAGAGCAAAGGTGAAGGAGGGAATGCCTAGCCCAACTATATATGAAAAGACAACACAGAGTTTTACTCATAAAATAACGCAGAAGTGCAACATGTACAGAGATCCTAAAAGAGAACACAAAGTCCAGAAGGAAACTGAGTTTATGATAAAAATGGCATGTCAGATCAGTGGGGTAAAAATGAATAAATGGGGTTGGGATAACTGGATAACCACTTGAAAAAAGATAAAGGGTCCATATCTCACGCTGCCATGATAATTCCTTTATTATTACATTGGTGGTTCCAGAATGGTGATTTTCTATCATTGCTACCATTCTTCTATAAAAACATGTTCTCCCTACCCCACTATTTTGAGTATCACTATGGTTTCAGATTCTTTATTCAAGGCGCTATAATCCAGTACCATCATTTTTAATGTTCAAATTATCCTATATATGGCCATTGGGTGCCCTTGTAAGCCTATGTCCTTCTGACATGTTCCTTTCAGTATCTGAGCACTGCCCTGCTCTTTGACCCACCAAGATATTCCAGGCTCACCTTTCACTTTCCCTGCTCCAGACCTGAAATCAGCCATTTCTCCAAAGAACCCTGGCTTCTTTTAGTGGAGAAATAGTATTTAGAGACCAAGATCTGGTCATTAGATATGTTCACTGCTACTCTGATATCATTGCTTTTAGACTGTTTCCACAGACACAGCGAGGAAATGTATATATATACATCACAATACACTTATGGTTTTTAGATTTACTGGAAATCATAAATTCGTCCCGTAACTCCAATTCAAATCCAACGTAACAGGATTCTCCCTCACCTTCCCCAACCCGTATCTGTACTTTTCCTCTTCTACCATAATGAAAAGGCTGGTTCCCAAGAACAACAACATATTTTTTCATTTGCTCCATCCTACAATAATAACAAATTATATTCACAATTACTACACCCAACCACTGCTAACAACAGACCTACTAAATAAATTTCAAAATTCTTTTTCACTTGTAATTCTTGATTGACCTAAATAAGAATTTGTTCAAAATAATAATAGCAACAACATCTTGGGTGAGTGTAACTTATGGAAAAGGGAAATGAATGACAGCAACATTATAAGGGAGGGGAGGGAAGAAATAGGAATACTCATTTATACTTTTACTATCATGAAGTGGCATAGTGTTATTTGAAAGTGGACTTGGATTAGTGTAAATATATATTGCAAACACCAGGGCAACCAATAAAAATACATAATAAATATATAATAAATAAAAATAAATAAGAAGACTTAATACCTATCCTTCTCAAACTCTTCCAAAAAATTGAGGAGGGGGGGAAGCTCCCTA